GTCAAATACTCTGAAAGAATGAGAAGAGCATTCTGTGCTCTGTGAGCATAGAGTAATCTTGAGACCTCCTTGTCAATGTGCATTCTGCTGCTGGGAGTGATAGAGAATCTAGAATAAGGAGAAATTGAGATGCACAAATAATACAACCCTTATTTCAGCCAATTATTACAAAATATTTTCTTATTAATACAGGTGTCTGTGTATAATTATACACTTTTACTATTGTTTCCCATGTTTTAGAACTGTTTTTCTGACCAAACACATAATATAAAAGAAGCGTTACTCTTTGTAAAAAAAAAAAAAAAAAAGAAAAGAAAAGAAAAAAAGAAAGAAATAACTATCCCTGGCTGGTGTGGCTCAGTTTGTCGGAGGGGTCTCAGGTTTGGTAGCCTGTCAGGACATGTGTGGAAGACAATCAATCAATGTTTCTCTCCCTCTCTCTCTCCCTTTCTCTGCCTCTCTCCCTAAAATATCAGTCACTCAATAAAATAAAACTTATTTTATCTATCTGTGTGTTGTTTTGTCTTCCTGAAAATGTGACAGACAATTTTATTATTAATTCCCACAACATTAAAAATTTAATGTTTGTGCTTTTTAGTGATCTTTACTATCCTTAAAATACAGCTGTGATTCTCAAGAAGTATATATACATATATTAAGGCTTTAGTGTTCATTATTTTTTTATTGCTAAATTAAATAAATAAATAAATAAATAAAATAAAACTTATTTTATCTATTTGTGTGTTGTTTTGTCTTCCTGAAAATGTGATAGACAATTTTATTATTAATTCCCCCAACATTAATAATTTAATGTGAGTGCTTTTCAGTGATCTTTACTATCCTTAAAATACAGTTGTGATTCTCAAGAAGTATCTATACATATATTAAGGCTTTAGTGTTCATTATTTTTTTATCGCTACATGTCTGTACTGTCATGTAATAAATCAGTGGGTGAATACTAAAACTACCATATTTCAAGTACAATGGATTTGCATATTTAAGTCTTTGCATTTTTGATAGAGCTTTCAGATCACAAACCTATTTCCAGGTCTTACAATAAAACTATTTTTTATCTTGTATAACAAGAATTGGATTATCTTTTTAAAAATTCTGAATAATGAAACTGTTCTTCTGAAAACAGTTATTTTTGCTTAATCAAACACTGCCTAATTCATGATGTTACATATATAATTTTGTAAATTCATTCAATCATTCACTTATATTATTTAGTTCATTCATTTATTGAGTATAACTATGGCTGGTATAAAGCACGTGGGTTTTACTAAATTGGGCATATCTAAGTTCAAATTCTAACTTCAACAGTTAGTATGTAATCTGGAGTAAGATGCGTTAGAAATAAATAATTTATTTTGTAACTCAATGTATAAGAAAAAAAAGCAATAAATTTAGGGCCAAAAAAAAAATGACCGCATTCTTTTTTCTTTTATGTCAGTTCTAGAAAGGTATTACTGTTATGGTATCTCATGAAAGAGCTCATTTATACCCAGAGAGATAAGCAGCTTGCATGGCCCACAGCCCCTGCATGTTCTGAGTGTGTCGACCATGTCTGCCAGAACAACTCCACATGTGGTACTCTCAGCACTTCTTTGCATCTTGTCCTTACCTGTCTTGTCTTTAACTAACTCTATAAAGTGTCAGTTTACATTTTATTTCCTCATGGAAACCTTCCTAAGAATCTCCCAGCCTCTATTCCTAACCCAGTTTAGACTTTCTCATGATAGGGACTTTCAGTGAGCTCTTCTGTGTGGGGCTCTTCACAATTATAACTCAATAATTATTTTTATCATTATTCTATTAAGCTCTATGAAAGCAGGGTCATTATCGTAATTGTATCTAGTACCTTACACTGTGCCAAATTTATAGTGGGTACGCAACAGACATTTGTTGGATTAGATGAATAAAATTACTATCAAAATGAAAACCTGGTTGTCTGATTCCAACTTCCGGATCCCTCTACTCACCTGTGATAACCAGAGAAAAGAACTTAAATTTCAGAAATATATCCTGTTTACAACAAGACCATGCCAATGTTTGCCATGATTTTGGATCCCAGTCTATTTCTTTCCCTGATGTCCTGGGAGTCACATATTATATATCTTGGCCAGAATCTCAACCTGCAGCCACCTCACTGTTCTCTCAATGGTGAGATCATTCATCTTTCCGTGATTTGGATAGGCTATAGTGCTTCTGTTTTAGATAACTGATTACAATATAACCCTTAAGGACACCATCAGGTTATGAGCCAAAAGCATGGGAGCAATTCCAGACTCCATCACTCTAATTATAGGAGTAGCTCTCTAAGGGTAGGATTCTCAATTCCAAGGCTGGTGGGAGACACTGGCATTTTGACGAGGGTCCATAGATAATGTAAAAATGAAAACCAACAGAAGTCATCCCTTTATTTGAAAATGAATAGTATTCCCAAGCAAATAAAAAGTGGATTTGCAAATGATTTAAAGTGCCAAATATTTTCTAAGCATCTCAAATTTTTGTAAAAAACTAAAGGCCTGATATTTTGTAGAGATCCCAATCTCACTGAATTATAGATTGAAGCAGTTAGACTTAAAAGAACTATTTATTGATTATATATCCCTTATTGATACTCAAGGCTTATAGAAAAATATCCATTTAATTCAAAATATTGAATGAAAAGGATAAATCGGGTGATAAAAGAAACAAAATCCAAGATACACACAAAGGTGGTTGAAGAATATTAAACATTTCCAATCTCCAAAAATAAAATTAAGTACATCAATTGACTAAAATTATGATGGTGACATCCCTGGTGCACAGTGTATCTGTGCTCATTCACTCACGTGACTCTAACTTGTCTTATACTCATGATAGCTTGAAAGATCACTCTCAGGGCACCATCTTTCTTCCACCCAAATTTAAAACAATAATAGCTAAAATGGAGACAAATAGCAGTAAAAGAACAGCTCCATTCAAACACATGATGAACTTGGGTGATGCATAAATGCCCAAGTGAGAGACCTGTTTGGCTCCAGGTCCAAAAACTAGCAGAGACAACTGGGTATTGGCCCGTACTGGATAATGGAATACAGGTTTTCTCCAGCAGAAGAACATGTCAAATGTTCCTTCTTAAGGGAGACCTGAATTTAGTCACGAGAGGAGCCTGAATCAGGCCACCAATTATGATATTGACAACCTGATTTTTTTGGCTTTCTGATGTGTGGTGACACTGTACACTTCTCTATATTGGGATCTCTCAAACTGGCTCCTTTTTATTCTTATGTCCTCGTCATTTTCTATCTCTCTCCTTTTCACCACTCTTTCTCTTACTCACTCTCTCTTTTCTTCCCATGTTTATCTCTCTTTTCCTTTGTCTCAGAAAAATTCTCACACCTACTATTGTGACCCAATATTAGAATTAGTGGAAATAAATAATGGCACAAAAATATCAGAATTGATAAATAAAAACCATTGATTTTAATCTAAGAATTTATTGAATCAAATTTTTGTTAGTAATTTAGCTGAGAAATATTTGCACTAATGAAACTAATTTCAACAAAATAAAAATAAATAGTAATTTTTAACTAGAACATATAAAATTAATCTGGAATAAAATGGACTAAAGGGATCTTTCTGGAAAAAAATCCTAGGTGACACTTATTTGGGTTTATACTGTTTATATTAAAACCAGAGGCCTGGTGCATAAAATTCCTGCACTGAGGGGGGTGGGGGCTGTCCCTCAGCCCAGCCTATGCCCTCTCACTGTCTGGGAGCCCTCGGGGGATGTCCAACTGCTGGCTGAGGCCTGCTCCCCATGGGCTAAGCCAGCAGTTGGACAGCCTTAGCGCTGCCACAGAGGCGGAGAGGCTCCTGCCACTGCTGCTGCGCTCACCAGCCATGAGCATGGCTTCTGGCTGAGCAGTGCTCCCCCTGTGGGAGTGCACTGACCACAAGGGGGCAGCTCCTGCATTGAGCATCTGCCCCCTGATGGACAGAGAGCATGATAGCACCCAGTTGTTCCGCCATTGGCCGAAACCAGCTCTTCAACATCTCCCAAGGGGTCCCAGATTGCAAGAGGGCACAGGCCAGGCTGAGGAACCCCACTGGTGCACAATCGGGGCCAGGGAGGGACACGAGAGGTTGGCCAGCTGGGGAGGGACCACTGGAGGGCTCCAGGGCATGTCCAGCCCATCTCGCTCTGTTCCAATCAGCCAAACCCCAACAGCAAACTAACCTATGGGTCGGAGCATCTGACCCCTGTTGGTCAATACATGTCATAGTGACTGGTCAACAGGTTGACTGTCTGCCCCCTGGTGGTCAGTGCACATCATAGCAAGCAGTTGAGTGGCCTTAGCATATCATTAGCATATTACGCTTTGATTGGTTGAATGGCTAACTGGATGACAGGACACTTAGCATATTAAGCTTTTATTATATAGGATGTTTTTGTTCAAAGCACACCCAGGGTTAAAACACTCTTAGGTCAAGAACACCAGAAGGGCTCCCCTGACATTGACTACAGACGATTTAAAACTCTGCCAGAATTTCTATGTGAAGCATTCCCAGACCCTCCAACTAACTCAGCATCAGCTACTTCTCTGATGGGGTCCTGATTAAGGTCCTCCCCAAGAAAGACTTCATTGGATCCATGCTCAAGAGGACTTTCCCGGGTATTCCTGACCTCCCTACATTGCTGTAAAGTGCCAAGACCTGAAGACTTGGGTATGTGTATCACAATGGCAAGAGTTCCAGCGCCCACAAAGACCCATTGGATCTGTCGGCTCCTCTCTTTGACCAAGCAGACGCAATAGCTAACAGCAAAGCAGAGTAAGCCAAGTGCTTCTGCATGAGAGCATCAGCTGATTAACACACACACATACACAAAATTACTAATTTAGAACAGACTTCTAGCTTTTCCTGAGAAGTTGGAATTTGAAGGAGCTATTCTGAGATCTGTGCTCCTAGAAAGTGGCTGATAACCTTTTAGTTTGGATTGTTCACTGAGTTGAAAGACTGAGTTGTAATTGAGTGAAAAATAGACAACGGAACCTTGAAGAATTGCATGTAAGTGCAAGCCAGATTTAACTCTCTTTCTAAGTAGTATTGCTTGGACTGAGAAATTGCTAAATCAGACCTGTGATAGGACTGGTTATTTGGGTATCTCTCTTTGTCATTGTTGCCTCTTTCTGTTACATTGCTTTCTGTGTTATCTCTGGAGGCCCAGATGTTCTCAGATAATTCACATTGCCCTGACTGTGGACAACAGTGGTTTCCTAGTTTAGAATTAGGCCACTGGTTGTACCAAACTGAACTTATTGAAAATGAATGTTACCAAGTATTCTTAGACCGTATCAACAGAGCTGATTATTGCCCCGAGTGTTATCCTGATAATCCTGCTAACAGAAGCCTTGCCCTTCCTTGGTTTTTCCCACTTGAATGGGCTCCCCAAAACCTTACCAGGTGGACCTTTGAAAAAGCTTGCCACCCATTTCTTCTGGGTCCTCCACTGGTTAGAAAAAGGGTACATGCCTCTAGAATAGCTGGTTTTAACCCAGCATTACAATTAATCTTGGCCAGAACAGACACAACCTTAAACAAAAAATTTGGCCAAAGCAAGTAACTTCTTAAAGAGTCACAATCATGGAGATCCTAGAGGGTTTTGTGCTAGTAACCAAAGGAAGATGGAAAAAATGACACTTTTTAAAATCTGATCCAGGGTGCCACTACTTCGGGGAACTGCTTAAATTGTTAGGCCTGCTCCCATGGTCTGCACCTATTCTGTTCGGCATGAATTCAATCACTGTTCCAGCCAGACTCTTCATCTAGAGCCTGAGTATTTCACGTTCCCTATGTCTTAGAAGTAGCTTACCCCTCCGAAAAGTCTCCACAGCCTAATTATTGACATAGGAATAGGTAGTCCTAGAGAATAGGCCCCATATTGTGTATACCATGATGATATTTCTAGTGATAACTTCTGTGGGGAAGCATCTTCATTATAGTTGACTTCTAAATGATTTCGATAAAAGAACTAGGCATTTTAATAAGAAATCACATTGTTATAAATTGCACCTCTTGTGATTTTATATATAATTTATCCATATATAATCATTTATTCATAACTGGCTCTATTTGGCCTCAGTGAGGCTTTGATATTATAGATAACTGGTCATCTCCAGAGAAACCACATTCTATTGGGTAACACCTACATGGGTTACCCAAAAACATGCAGAAATGCCACTGTCTATACTTACTTGGCTCTGCATAAACAAAGACTGTCCTGCCTTTGTGGTGACTGAACTTAGAATGTCCTACCAGGAAGTGGAAAAGTGCCTGGGTATGAGATAGGTTATGAAAGAAGTTATCCAGCTTGACTCCACAATAGTATGAGCAATCTAAGGGAAGCATCTTAAAACCAAGAGGTATTGCTGGGTATTAGCCACATTCTGACCTTCACTTGTTCACAGGAAATTTAGAAAAAAAAAAGAAAAAAAAAACCTGTTGGAATATCTCAGAGGCCATGGGATAAATTTAAAATTCTACATAAGATGCTAGATAATCCAGTGCTTATGTTGCAACTCAACAATATTCTCAGGATCCCAGGTCCTTTGTTTTTCCCCTCTGAGGCCCTTATCTCATTAGCTTTTGTCTTCTTAGTGTCCTCAGTGATTACAGTGTGGCTTGTTGCTGCTCTAGGGATTTCAGTCCCATTTGGAAGTAGGGAGAGAAAGCTTTCTCCTTTGAAGACTCTGTCTTACTTGGAAAGAAAACCTTTCCCAAAAGTCCCTCACCATTTTCTTCTTATATCTCATTGGAAGGTACTGTTCAAATGGGAGCCCAGGTTGGCAGTGCCTGAGCAGGGCACCTTGTTTCCCCTAATAAAACAAAGGCTCTTTTAGGAAGGGAACAGTGGGGAATGAATGGCTGTTTTTATGCAAGAACGCATGCCTGCCACATGTTGTGAAACCTGAGTTGTTTGTTAGTCTGTATAAATATTGTACCCCAGAGACCTACCCTGTATATGCCTTATGTCTATGTTGGTGGAAGTTCTCTCCTGTTAAATTGCTGAATAAACTGTGGGGACTGCTAAACTGAAAATAAAACAAAAAGCACATTCTTAGGTCCAAATGATGAAAAAAAATCATTCTGGAACCTATCGGAATTATTCAACACTTATTTTCACTTCTGAGAATTTGTTTTTCCTATTTCTCATTATTCCAATAAAAAGTTTCTCTTGAGCTATAAAGGCAATATTCCCCGTTAATTTTGTACATTTATAAGCCAAAACTTTTTTTTAGACTTTCACATGACACGCCTGATCTTTAAGGAAATGATAAACATACAGGATTTTACAGTAAGGTTTTTAAAACTTAGATAGCGATAGAGTCAACAAAAAAATGTTTATAAAAGATAAAGTAATTTAAAAGATTACCTTGTAATTTCATTTCCATTTGGAAAAATTGTATTTTTTTATCAGATCACAGTTATCTCTTCTATTGTCTAAAAATGTTCATTCCCATTAAAGAAAATGAGACTGTTTCAACCTCATACAGATGCACCATTGCCCATGGCAGCGCTAGTTTTCCCTGCTGGGGAGACCCAAGGTGAATGATGCAAAAGCCAGCACCGCGGCCCAGCTGTGATCATGTAGAAGAGAGGCAGGCCCAGAAGTCTGAGTTCTTCTCAGATTTTTTACAGAAAGCAAAAAGGTTCCTCCCATCTGAGGAATGACATTTCTAACTATTATTTGTACTCAGGAAGTCACTAAGTAGATTCTGTGCCGGTTCTTGGGAGAAGGAAAAGCAGATTGACCTGGAGAGAAATGCCAATCATTTTTTCTACTTCATGTCAAAGGTTAATGGATACGCAAGAACCTGCCTACATTAACTTCTTTTATACTTCAGAGAAATAGAATAACCTCACTGAAAATGAATATGCCCCTAGGTCTGACTTTTTTGGAATGCCTTTTTAGACTGTTCAATCCACCCTTTACCATGTGAGGTTCTTCTATCACACCCATTGCCAATAAGCGCCATATATGTGATCTGCAGCCTTTTTTCAGTACACAGAGTAAAATGAAACTCCCAACTGAACATACTGTATTTAAGGCCCTTCATATACAAGTTGTTACTTAGGTAAGGGTTAGACTCACAGTAGTGCTACAGGTGCACAAGATGGCTAGGACATCTCTATGACCAGAAACTCTCCTAAAGCCAAGTGTGGTTATAGAGAATATTAAATCAACTGCATACCATGTGTAGAGGTGATGCTCTATAAATAAACCTTTCATGGAAGGTTAGTGCATATCTTCAGGTAATTGGACAACTGGCTCACAGGCACCAGTAACTATTTAGTTAAGAAGCAAAAGGTTTTGTCACTTAAAATACTTTTAAAGAGCATCAAAGACCACATTCTGATTATCTTTGCATCTCCTACAAATAGAAATTACCACAATTCTAAGCATAGTGAGATAACCAATAGTCATATGGTTTATCAGAATACTGCATCTACTTTCAAGAAATGGAAAACCTGACAAAATACAGCCTAAGCAAGTAGCAGGTTTATTTTTACCTCTCAAAGAAAAAGGTCCAAAAAGAGCTAGTTCGGGGCTGATCTGTTAGCTCCATGATGCCACAGTGAGACTGGACACCTTCTATTTTGTTTTCCCATCCCACCACTCTTAGCATTTGGCTTTCAGCTTCATTATGTCAACATGACAGCAGCAATAGTAGGTATCACATCCACGTTCCAGGCCGGAGGGAGGGTAAAGGCAAAGCATAGAGAAGGAGACATGTGTCAGCTAAGTCTGTTCCTCTTTATCTTTAATGTAATAGCTTTCCTAGAGTCCCTAACAAATGCTTCCACTTACATTTCACCTCCTAGAAGGGAGGGTCTCATGACCAAACAAGTTGTCATCTAGGGAAATCAAGACTTTATTCACACATATTGCCTCTTCTCAAAGAAAATTGAATAAGAAGAACAGGCAAAATAGATATAGGATAGGCAATTAATAGTAGCTATTAGATACATTACTTTCCAGGTATAGATGGCCGAGGTGGGTGGCAGTAGGCTGGAGAACTATGCTTCTGCATAGCACAGAAGGCTCTCCATCATCTAGTCTCAGGACTTCAAATGTACCTGCCTTTCACTGAAGCAATCATGTACATGATTGCTGTCACATATGCCTCCCTGTTCCTCTAGTACCCATTTACTCAGAAAGCTGTTTGCTATCAGGACTTAGTTCAGGTATCATCACATCCACATGGAAAGCTTTCCTGCTCTATCAGACATAGTTTGTCAATTAACTACTAGAAAGTGAGCTGAATGAGGAAAATCACTGTCTTATTTACCTTTGTATTTTTAACTTTCAGAACAATGCCTTCATGATTTATTTGACTTACATTCCACATCTCCAGTAAAGATATTACACATGTTTTGGCTAAGGTGCATCAATGAACGGCTTTCTCATATACAGTATGAGGGGTAGAGAACCAAGAAGGACTCAAATCTGTTTCACTAGTTTTGGAACAACAAGGGTGAATGGTAATCAGTGTTCCAGTGTTATACATCATAAAGCAAAGTTCACAAAACCAGATACTTTGGGGGCATTAAAAGTAACTAAATGTACAAAGATATCGAGTCCTTGGTATAGGTGTAATGAGTGTTATGGTGAACCAGTAGGTACACACCACCTCTAAGAATATTCAAATGCAAGAATGTTTAACACATTCTGGCCAAACAAATTTCACCTGTGGCTGAAATTGAGCAATAGGGAAACAGTTGGGACAAAGGACACAAAAATGAGAGCCCAAATTCTTTAAAAAGAGGTCTTCCTACTCTCATCTACCACATTTTAGATACTCAGAAATCATATCAGTGAGTCAAAGTTATACTGGGTCCAGCAATTACAGTGTCCATGTGCTTCCTGGAATATATTACTGTACACCTAATTGAGAGCAATGTAACCAATGTTATATTTCACTAAAGGCCCAGTGCATGAAATTTGTGCATTGGAGGGGGATGTCCCTCATCCCGGCCTGCACCCTCTCCAATCTAGAATCCCTCTTGCAATCCGGAATCACTGGCTCCTAACCACTCACCTGCCTGCTTGCTGGATGCCCCTAAATGCTCTCCCCTGCCAGCCTGATCTCCCTAACTGCTCTCCCCTCCTGGCCTGATTGCCCTAACTACCTAACTCCTCTTCCCTGCTGGCATGACCCACTAACTACCCTCCCTTGGCGGCCTGATCACCCTAACTGCCTAACTGCTCTCCCCTGCCAACCTGATCCCCCTAACTGCCTATCTACTCTCTGTTGCCGGCCTGGTTGCCCTAACTGCCTATCTGCTCTCCCCTCCTGGCCTGATTCCTCTAACTGTTTATCTGCTCTCCCTTCCTTTTCACACCCTTTCGATCCCTGGTGCAGGTGTGCTGAGAGCTCCCCACTTTGGCCCTGCCCCCAAACTGATTGGTCATTGTGTGACAGTGTCCTGGCCAATTTGCATATTCCTCCATTATTAGTATAGATACGCAATGTTTGGTAAGAGACAACTAATTTTTGAAAGGCATTTGCCAAATAAAATGACAAAAAGTAGAGGCACAAGAACAATTTTTATTGAATCCAT